CAGACTGCCGTGACCGCAACACTCTGCTCGAGATGCTTTGCTGAGGATGGGCTTGCCCCTACAAAGTTGCACATGTAGTGCTGCAGAGTAATGTACCTGGAATTGAACGGTACCTGACCTGCTCCATCGATCAAACAACATTTTGGGGGCTTTCTGTCAGATTGCAGACCTTGAGCTATGACGGGTTTCGCGGCTCCACAACTTGTGGTCGCGCCATCACATGATCTGCTTCTTGTCACGTCGTCGTGCTAAGTTGGGGTTTCGCGATTCGGTCGTGGCTGTCCTGGTGTCCTCTGGATGGCTCAGGTCCGCGCTCGCAGGTTTCCCCGGTGAAGACGGAGCGGACCTCTGCTGTACTTTGCAAGGCGACGCACAGAGTTCAGCCGGACCCGAGAGCCGCACACTGCAGAGCCACAAGAACGGGAGCAGGAGCAACAGCAAACCTTGGAAAAAACTTGTTTCTGGCCGTCGGTGAAAGCGAATAGTGCAGCTCTCCTGTCTTCGAGGCACCGGCCGAACAACACACAGCAGCAAGCTGCCGCGGGCCGGCACCTGCACCCCAACGGACAAGCCACTCGAATCTGGGGCGTGCTTTCCGGATGCGGCTCAAGCTGGCCTGTAACCGTAGGTGGCATCCTTTTGTTTCGTGTAGCTGCCCTGACCTGCACTCGGCAATGCTGGGACTCACGAAAGGCTGTTCGCCTGCCTTTGGCCTGCACCAACTTCGATAAGCTTCGTCTCCATGTCCCCCCTTCCTGACGGTGGGAACCACAGCTCTGCAACTGCCTGTTTGCGCAAAACTTCCCAGCCTGCGCCGACGTATTGGATGCCTTCTTGGTGGCCGTCAGCGTAGCGCTCGTAGAACATGTCTTGGCAGCAAGCTCAGGGCAGAAAGATACATTGGCATGCGGTCACAACATCCAAGAGGTGCCGCAACAAAGGGGGCGTCAGAAACGTTGTTATCGTTGGTCTTGTGGCATGTTAGCTCAAACGCGAACCATACTAATAGTGGATTTCAACTGTAAAGCGCCATGACACCAACGCCAAATGCTCCTCTGACCCATCCAGGATCTCTCGGGGGGCGTAGCCAGCCACGTAACCGATGGTACTCGACTTCTTCGGCCGATTGTTTTGAAATGTGTCCGCCCACACAACTGTCGCGATGTCTCACCCATCCCGGCTCCAGTCGGGGAACCAGCGGCTGTGGGAAGCCTCTTTCTTCATCTCATGTACCAATTTATTGGCTGTCACAATGGTGTCCACGGTGGCAACGGGCACAAAGGAAAAAAACAGGAAAACTTTTGCCTGATGGCTCGGTCCAGTTTGCGAAGCTTTCCAAGCCAAAGTGCCCAGCACTGCCCTCAGACTAGCCACTTCCCTCACAGAAACGGGCTCTTCAACTCGCGCTTGCGTGCCTTGGAGAGCGGCATTTCCTCCAGCCACTTGTTAGCGCAATCCTCTTGACCAACATAAATTCCATCAGGGGTCTGCTTCAAGTGGCAGCCAGCGAAGTCAAAGTCTCGCTCGCACATGCCAAATTTGAACTTTGCCGGGAGATCTAGCTTGGCCTGCTCAAACTTGGGATGGTTCTCCAAGCCACAGATCAGAAAGTCGTCCACATGGATCCCAGCCAGCGCAATGAGCTCATGGGACACATCGTCATAGAGACAGAAAACACATCTGTCTGCCTTGGTCTGTGTCCACCGGCCCATGAGGAGCGCATTGCGTGAACCAGCCCGTAGAAGGCCTTCGTAAGCTTGAGACCGCCATCACTCTTGACCGAGGAAGTTTATCATCGGCCTTGCCGCTTGCGCCTTGCCTGCTTCAGCTCCACATCCGGAAGCTCCTCATCCGACGAAGAGGAACTGGAGATGCTAGCGCCACTGCTCTCGGAGGCCGGCAGCACGAGAAGGTCTCTGGCCACGGGTGGTGTAGAAGGCACAGCACTCGAAGATGAAGCTCCGGGAGGAGCCGTTGAGGAAGAAGCAAGTTCAGCTTCAGGCTGTGCTGCTTGCAGCACAGGCAGACTCTTTCTCAACTTTCGCCTCAGCTCCGGCGTTAGGCTTCCGCTCGAAGTGAAGGTCCTCCGACGCCTAGTCAGCTCGGTATCCCTCATGGAACAGTCTTACCTTGTCCCGTGTAAACATGGTGAAGCACGGAGTCCCGTGGATTCGGACCAATGCGCCTTCACGAACTTCGCACTTGTCACGGGTGAATTCTAACACGAACCTCGCCGGAGTCACGTCCTCCTCCAGAGCCGTCCGGGAGTCTCCTGGCTCGCGTCCACAAAGTCTCGGCCCGTGTAGCCACGAAGATGAGTGCTCAGCGACACCAGGTTCCGAATCACAGACATACCCTTAGTAGAGTGGATCAGCTCCTCTCTCGCCGAGCACGGTCTGACCTGGTTGGTCTTTGCCCGGACGATGGTCGCACCGGTCGCTGTCCAGTGGAACGACGGTCGACCCTTCGTTGAAGAAGAACCCGAAGAGGGCCCGCCCAGGGAACCCTTATACCCTGACGAAGTCGCTGACGCCAAACCAAGTCTGTGATTTGCCAAGTTGGCGGAAGAGCCCGTCGATCGTGACCGGCTGCCAGCTTTCCGCTGCGGGATAAGACTTTAAATGCTTGGCCATGCAAAGTCGACTGGCGCTATCTTGCATAAGAAGGAACTTTGACTTCCTTCATGAACCGTCTTTCTCAAACTGATACTCAAAGACATCCATGCTAAGGTATTCCCAAAGCATAGGGGGTTCTTCTGTAGGGGCGAGAGGTGCAGGTGTTAAGCGACGGGACTCATCATGGTCAGCACAACGAAGTTCTTTAGACAAGTCGCATGCTCACTGAGCAGCACCTCTTTTCTGTACAAGACGAGCAAGAGCCGCGAAGCTCGTACGCCCAGCTGCACGGTGCATCCTCATCAGCTGCGCCTTGATCTCCTCCAGCTTGCGGCCGGCTTTTCCAAAGGAAGAGATGACCGCTGCAAAGCCATCAGGTCTCCTGCTCAAGTGCCATCATGCCCACATTGGTGACGGCCCCTATAGCATCTGGACCTGCATCACGATCGAGACCCTGCCATCGCAACCATCGGTACAGAACTGCTGCGCTGCTACGTTCCTTGATCGCTATGTTGCCGTAGTCCTTGATCGCATCGTTGCCGTAGTCCTTGATCGCCGTGTTGGCGTCGTTCTTGTTCGCTGCGTTGCTGCCGTTCTTGATCACTGCGTTGCCGTCGTTCACAAAACTTCCCACATCGGCTCGCAACGAGCCATGAAGCTCGCCCACATTTCAAGTCGCCGCATCCATCGGGGAGTCCAGGAGCCCGCTCGGGCCAATCAGCATGCTGTTTGTGGCCGGGACAGCATCTTCGGCCCATCTTGTAGCGCAGCTGCTTTGCCACTTGACCGGCCACACTGGCCATCAGCCCGCTATCCGAATCCAAACAGCTGGCTCTTCTCGACGCGGTCCGCAACGGTCTCGTGAGAGTCTCGTGCTCCTCCGGGGTCGAGAGTCACAGTCTCACAAAGAAGCCCTTCATCACGAAAGTGCCGCCGCCAACCTCGAACACGTCCACTGAATTCGTTGTCAACGCCAGCAACGACGTTGCTACGCAAAGATCACTAGCCGCACTAGCCATGAAGCCCTTGGTTCCACGAAGCTGATACCCTCATACGGGCCCGCCAAACCTCAAAGATCCTTCGCCCTCCTCCTCCTCCTCCTCCTGGGTCACCGGCACCGAGATGCTCATGTTTTCCCAGCCGTCCGAGCCCTGCTGTCCACTGCCACTCGGAAGCCGCACTCCAAAAGATACTTCGGCCTGCTCCTTGAGAGCAGTCAAGCAAGTAGGGCTTGCGTGCGGATCCAGCACCAAGTGCCCTGCCTTGTTCTTTCAAGGGGGGAACTCAAGACCTCACCAGACGGCACCTGCAAGAGTTCGCAAAAGTGTTCATAAGATATAAAGGCACGGCGGTCACGAAGAAAGCGAGCGCCCACTAGCAAAGGAGCCCCGGAGTGCCAGGTCGTCGTTGTCCTCGATCCAGCACACAGAAGGACACATCTCCCAAGCTTGTGTTCCGAAGCAACACCTTGCTGGCTGCACGAGCCCATCGCCGAACCGAAAGGTCAAGCGGTCCTTGAGATCAACCCCTCTCAGCAGTGCCACATGCTGCAAGAGCCTTTGCGCGCATTACGCCCACCGTCTGCAGCATAAAGTGCACTCTCGAAGTGCCAGACAGTATGGTCTCGCTCAGGCGGTCCAGCACGCTGTTCTCGAAGGAGCCCAGCTCGCGGTCAAGGCTGTTCCCGGCCAGGTGCTCACAAAGGACCGGTCCAAAGTGGGTCGACGTGGCCAGTAAGTCAGAGGTCACGGCCGGCGCGCTATTTGAAGTAAAGCCGAAGCCTTGGTAGTAGTGGGCGGGGTTGCTTGGCCGGGGGCTGCCCTTGCGTGGCAGCCTGCTCTTCGTCTTTCCCTTTCCTTTGGCCTTGGAGGTGTAGCCGCCCTTCGGGAAACCCTTTATTTGTACATCGCAGAAGCATTTTGGTGACGATGAGGGCATTCTTTGAAAAAGCGAGCGGGCTGGCTGCAAAACAAACACCGCATTCCCCTGAACCTTGGCCACCGCGGCCCTCGCCTGAGCCACTGCCTCGCGCTCTTGTTTCAAAAGGTCTGCCTCCGGGGCCCTGGGCTCGCCCTCATCATCGGGAACCTCAGCATCCGAGTAGGTCTCTGGTAAGGAACCGCAAGGTAGGCCGCTCCTTGTGCGCACAAGGAGCGCGCAGATCGGTTTGATTTTTAGAGGCACGACGCGACTGGCGAATGTCCTGCAAGTTCACCTTGTTGCCAACCAGGTCAGGCGTTTCTTGGCTGGCGGCCTCCAATTGCCACCTTTACTTCGGCCGCCTGCGGGCCAAAAGGGAACCCCGACTCTTCAAAAGCTTGAACAACAGGAATTTCTGGTTAGGGAAGAAGAGGGTTTTGCTGAGCTGCAGCAGTCACTGCAGAGATCCAGGGACATGGCCAAGGGCAAGACAACGCTTCCGGACGAGGCCTTCGAGAACAAGGGCCCCGATGACGATGAGAAGCCGAAGGACGAGGCCGACGGCGAGACATTCGACGGGGAGTTCAGGAAGGCGTCGCCGGGCTCGTCACCACAGCGCACGGCCAGGAAGGGATCCGGAGGTTCCGCCGCGGTGATCGGCGAAGCTTTACCGGCCAGAGTTCCAAGCCATTGGCATTATAGAACAACGCCGGGTCCAAAAGTGTCGGGCCCGTCAATCGAGGAGTGCGGCGCACTCCATAAACTATGCGGGCGAACGCCCGGCACAAACGAAAGTAGCAATCGGCTGAATTTTTCCGCGCAAGAGCCCGAATCCCTCTGGTACGTGTTCACTTGCACAACGTGAGACATGCGATGCGAAACCTCGTGCATTTCAAGCATCCTAAAGTCCTGACACCTGTCTTGTAGGGCTGCGCTTGGCAATCCCCCGCTTTGGTAAAGCAGTGCTGACGGCATGCCCTTGCTGCAATGACCCTGGGTGCGACCAGCGGAACCAGGAAAAGCAAGCAGACGAAGGGACCGGCACAGGGCGGCCGGTGACGGAAGCGAGAAGCAGAGCGCTTTCGTGGCACAAGGGCGCGTCAGTCAACTGAGCGGCCGGTGATGGCGGGGCAGCGACCAAAAAAAGAAAAGGAGAGCTCGAAGAGCTGCTCGAAAGCGAGGAAGGGCAGGGCACCAAGCATCGAGAGGGGCTGCGGTGGGTCTACCGGAAAAACTCCTCAAAGCTTCTCCCGGTGCTCTGCACTAATTCAAAAGGGGAAGGACCCCCAAGTTCAGGATCGACGCGACAAACTACGGCGGTTCCTGAGGAACCAAAACAAGCTTTGTCAATTCGGAGTTGGTTTTGTTGTGAGGAAAGGACCGCATTATTGCTTTATGCTTTTGTCCCTACTGCATAGGCACAGGTGATGACGAGTGGGAGTTCCCATCGAACCGAAATGGCACCAAGGTGCTTGCACATGGAAACGAGGCCACATTTTGCTGACAGTTGAAGCGGGCACGAGAAAAAGGTGTACCGTTGTTCGATGAGCCTTGAGTCCAATGTCGTAAAGATCCGACTTGAATTAAATCAGCATACCTTGCTCTAATCATTAATCTTCCCACCACTCGTAACCAACAGTCGCACTGTACAACATGCGAGACCTCGACTCTTGGCACCTCCGATCTCCAACATCGACAACCCTCTTGCTGTGCAGGTGTCATGAACTGCGGCATGCTGCTGCAACAGTATGCAGTGTGCACCAAGATCGCTGAAGCAGCTCATCCTTAGTCGTCCACTGAAAAAGAAGCCGCCGCCGCCGCCCGCGCCACCACCACCGCCACCTGGGAGTCACTGGGCCCTAGTCAGCAGCCAGATCCACTGAAAGACTCTCGGTTACATGGTAGATGCAGGGGAAGATATACTTTGCGTTGTAGATGATTCCAATATTAGTAGTAGCGCGAGCTCTTTGAACTACAAGTAGCATGCTCACATGCGCTGGACGTGCAATTTAGAGAGTTTGAGCGCCTCCGCCACTCGAATAGACCACACCCATGGCGTCCGGGGTTGCGGCTGGCACACGGGCCGTCTACACTATTTAGCTGCAGGGCCACAAGCGCTGGAGTGAACACGCAGATCGCTGCAGCTGCTAGATGCTGCTAGACTTTGTTCACTTCCATGGCAAGCACGGCACCTCGCGAAGCAACGCATGGGAATGGCATGCACAGGCTTTGCAGCGAGGCAGGAGCACAGTTTGGCACAGGTGAGCTTTGCTGCGTGTGCCGGAAACGACAGCTCGTGCAAAAAGGCAATCTGTGTGCACTAAAGCGACAGCACACCGGAGACACTAGCTCTCTTCTAGGTCAATTGCGTCTCCAGACCAGATTTGCCCAAGGTGTTGCCAGTTCGATGCACTCCCAGCATTTTCACATCGACGTGGATCTCAAGTCTACAACCCTGAGCTGCCTAGAACTCCAAGATACCAGAAGCGCATACAGGACAAAACTCTGATGCCGGGCTCAGACTCAGTTCCAGCACTCGACCACACAGCTTGCGAACATGCTGCTCCAGCGGCGCGGCGCTGGTCATGGGCTCCGGCGCCGGAAAAGCGAACGGCTGGCCCCACCTGGCAGCAACCCTCCCATGCCATGAAACATCTTGCCCATACAAGGCATCCGTCTGCTTAAAGTGTGGAGTTAGCATGATTTGGCAGCAGTCTGTGCAACCATAGACAATCACATCTCAGCGGCGGGCACTCAGCCACATTGGCTCCTGCATGCCACTATCCAGCTAATATCGAGAATCAATGAACATCAGTTGTCGGTGCATGCCATAATCGTCATGTCACATGTGAAGCATGGTCCTTTGCTGCGTCTCCGTGCTTTGCATCGGAAGATGCAGCAGGGGCTGGCTGTGCTGGTGTATCATTTCTCCAGAGAGTCATCGTCGCCGTAGGTGCCCATGTCACCATGGCGATACTCAGGCGGCAGTGACTCGTCGTCGCCACCAACGATCATGTCACTGTGCCGATACTCGGGCGGCAGCGAGGCATCGTCATCTCCGACAACGTGCCGATGCTCGGGCGGCAGCGAGG